TGAAAAATGATCCAGAAACGCTGCAGTCTTCTCTGTAACAGACCATTTTACATGAGCTTTGGCCCAAAGTGGAAAACTGTTCTGTGGTTGGATGAATAAAAATTTTACATTTTGGCAACCATGGGCGCCATATCCTCTGGATTAAAGAGGGGAGAGGGACCTTACGGTTTGTTATCAGTGCTCCGGTTCAAAAGCCTACATCTGATGGAATGGAAAGCTTGCATATCTGGCACCATCAATGCCTAAAGATATATCCAGGTTTTAGTGCAGCATATGCTCCAGTCCAGAAGACATTGCATATTTCTTCTGCACAGATGCTAAAAAGCATGCTTCATCTATGACAATAGCATGGCTACGTAGTAGAAGAGTCTGATGCTTAAATAGCCTGCCTGCAGTCCAGACCTTTCACCAATGAAAAATATATGGTACATCTTGAAATGAAGAACATGACGAAGATCACCCAGTGCAGTTAGAATCCTATATCAGGCAAGAATGGTACAGCATTCCTCTCCCAAACAACTGGTCTCCTCAGTTCCCAGACATTTACAGAGGGTTGTTAGAAGAGGGAACACTACACCATGGTAAACATGGCCCTGCCCCAACTTTGAGATATAGGTTACTGTCAATTTCAAAATTAACTCCATTCTTAGTTAAAGTTGTACATTTTACACTTTTTTTTGTACAATAAATGGATAGGAGAACCTTTAAAAGGTTGAGTGCTTTCATAGTGTTAACTGTGAAATCAACTTTAAAAACACATTTACAATACCTTCATGACAAAGTATTTTGAGAAGGACCAGATTAGCTCAAAATGAATGATCAGTTTGACAGACTTCACGCCTATCCCTTGCGTTACTGCAAAAAGATCCTAGGATGCCAACATTGCGCCATAAGATCGATGAACATTCCTTTGTAGGAGAGTTGTACAAGAATCCCACACCTCTCTTTCACATTTATTTCTATTACTGTAGGAACACAACAAATCAATACTCCTCTTCCAAGATCACCTCTTTACATAGAATATTCTCGTTTTACTGGTTTGTCTTGCTGGAAAGAAAAGTGGATTAAATGGATAGGAAGACTGTGGAGTGTACTTCAAAAGTCAGGAAAGCCAAGCCCTTATTAGGCTCCATGCACGCTAGTGTGTTTTTAAGCTCAAAAAACTATTGGAGGAAAAAAAAAATGAATAAAAATAAATAAAAATCGCTGGATAAAACACACTGGTAATAACGTTTAGGAACGTTATGGTTCTATTAGCATTTTTACAATGTATGTAGGGGAAAAATACAATACATGAGATAGGGGGAAAAAAAAAAAAAAAAAAAAAAAAAAAAAAGCATTTTAGGAGCGTTTAGCATTTTATTCTACTGGAAAAACATTTAAAAAAAAAAAAAAAAAAAAAAAACACCATAAACAAATTTTTTTTTTCTACTCCTAGAAGCTGAAGCTCAAAGTATGCGAATAGTCTCAAAGTAGTGTGCATGGACACAGGATAAACCTATTCAGCTTCTAGGAGCAGACAAAGAAAAGCTAATTACAGCTTCTAGGAGCCATTAAAAAAATAAAAAATACTAAACATGCATGGAGTATAAAAGAGAAACCAGGATCAGGACAATACACATCAGTGAATTTGGTGGCTAACAGGGTAATATAAAAGGAGAGCCAAACAAGTTTAAAATAGCGGACAGGTAAGCTCATCTTTTGACAGATCGTTAGAAAAACCCTCCACCTGTCTTCAGTAAGTTTGCAGAAGCGACAAATGAAAGTGAACCTGAGCATCAGATCTTTATACGATTTTTACCAGCAACACTTGCCCAGCAGTTATTTCACAGGACACCCTAGCAGTGTCTGCACTAGGCTGAGATTAAGACAGCTTGCGCATCCGCTGCTTATAGAATTCACTTGCTGCAGCCCACATGTGGCGTTTTGCTATGTACAGTGTAAAGCATCTCCACAGGGAAAGTTGTTCCCAAGATTTTTTGTTCAGAAAAAAAAAAACAAAAAAACAAACAAAAAAACACACAACTGTGAATATAGAAGGATAATAAAATGTAGGGTTTAATGCACCCTATTAGCAGCGATAAGTGGCATGCTACAAATGCACTAAGTGCAGCCAGATTCAGACAGGGTTGGGGTACCCTTGTAAAAACAGCCATCTACCTGTACCAGAACCTTTAAGCTAGCCATACAAGTGGCATAGATAGATAAAGCAATTGGGTGTTCGGTTTGATACCATTTTTTTTCCCCAGGAAATTAAAAAGCAGTTGAAAACCTAAAATGAAGGCATTGACCACAAATATATTACAGTGAAATTTTGCAAACAGGACATGATGGAAAAATCCAATCCCTTGTGACAAAACAGCTGTAGGTTTTCTCCCTTGTTTTGATCCCATGTCATTGTGATCATTCAATAAACTTTATTGAAGCTGTCAATTTATTGCCCAATATCAACTTCAAAATCTACCACATTTTGTCGATCGCATCCCAGTCTCGGATCGGATCCCATAATGGCATCCCAGTCTTAGTCCGAAGGGTTCAAAATTGAGTTGGCCCCGCCCTTTGCAGCTATAACAGCTTCAACTCTTCTGGGAAGGCCGTCCACAAGGTTTAGGAGGGCGTCTATGGGAAGGTTTGGCCATTCTTCCAGAAGCACATTTGTGAGGTCAGGCACTGATGTCGGGGGAGGAGGCCTGGCTCACAGTCTCCACTTGAATTCATTTCAAAGGTGTTCTATCAGGTTGAGGTCAGGAATCTGTGCAGGGCAGTTAAGTTCCTCCACCCCAAACTGGCTCATCCATGTCTTTATGGACCTTGCTTTGTGCACTGGTGGGCAGTCATGTTGGAACAGGAAGGGGCCATCCCCAAACTGTTCCCACAAAGTTGGGAGCATGAAATTGTCCAAAATGTCTTGGTATGCTGACACCTTAAGAGTTACCTTCACTGGAACTAGGGGGCCAAGCCCAACCCCTGAAAAACAACCCACACCATAATCCCCCCTCCACCAAACTTTACACTTGGTACAATTGCAGTCAGGCAAGTACCAATCTCCTGGTAACCGCCAAACCCATACATGTCCATTGGATTGCCCGACAGAGAAGTGTGATTGGTCACTTCAGAGAACTTGTCTCCACTGCTCTAGAGTCCAGTGGCGGAGTGCTTTACACCACTGCATCCGGCGCTTTGCATTGCACTTGGTGATGTATGGCTTGGATGCAGCTGCTCGGCCATGGAAACCCATTCTATGAAGTTCTCTACACACTGTTGTGCTAATCTGAAGGCCACAGGAAGTTTGTTGACGACTTCTGCGTTCTGTGCGCTTCAGCATGTGCTGACCCCGCTCTGTCATTTTACGTGGCCTGAGTTGCTAAGTTGCTGTAGTTCCCAGTTGCTTCCACTTTGTTATAATCCCACTAACAGGTGACCGTGGAATTTTTAGCAGCCAGGAAATGTCACGGATGGACGTATTTCACAGGTGGCAACCTATCACAGTACAAAGCTCGCATTTTGCCGAAGGGAAAAAGTGCGCCAATACAGGTGCCGATAATGAGAGACCCAGCTTCAAGGAGGGGAAGACTGTATTTGGCTGGGGATTTTTTTTTGGGGAGGCTGTGTGTACCGCAGATGAAGGGGGGGGCACGGCGGAACACAGCGGAGAAAGGCAGGAGAGGAGGTAAGCAGTGTATACAGTAAGGGAGCAGTGTATACAGACAGGCTCCCTCACTTACGGCCACTAAATGTCAATGCCAGTCTTTAAATGCAATTGCCGACTTTTTTCCCCCTTCACTATAGCAAAGGGGCGGCGTCACCCAGTAACATTACCCAGTGACTCCTCCCCTTAGTTTACTTTAGCGGTAGGGTGAATGATAGCTTGTTCTTGGAGCTATAGTGAAGAAAAAAAAAAAAAAAAAAAAAAAGGGACGGTAATTGCATTTACAAATCGGCAATGACATTTAGCAGCGGTAAGTGAGGGAGCCGGTCTGTATACAACACACACTAATGGGAACCCAAGCATCGATCTTACAAGTCTGCATCTATTTTAGGTACAGGTGACACCAAGATTGAAAAGAAACAAAACCCTCCAATACTTTATAGCCAAGGAAGCTGCCATCTCAGCCTCTGTTTGATCTGCAGTTGCCATGGTGTTGCACAGGTGATCAGTTAGGACACAAACCATTTGGTGGCTTGACAGTTTGATTAAGGGCAAATGTGACAGCTATACACAGCATGCCTTGAATTTAAAGTGCTACCAAACCCAGGACCCTGCATTCACTATATCTGGTCTCCCACTGTACACAAACATGGAAATGCAATTATTTTAGTAAATATAAAATACCTTTTCCCATCAGCAGTTAGAGCAGTCTTGTGTCTTCTATCAGTGTCCAGCTGAGTACTGGTTAAAGCTTGTAGGAGGAGTTTTTATTCTCCTCACTGCCCTATGAGATTGCATAACCATTGACCCTCTGTCTGGACAGTGCTGATTGGACTCTGTGATGATCACACGCAATCTCCCAACAAAAAGAAATATGCTCTAGCAATACACACCAAACTGAGCATGTGCAGAGTGTCCCCGAGGCTGTGTAACATCAGGAGATGAAATGGGGAACATGAAAGAAGGGGAATACCAGAGAAGACAGGATCAAACATCCTTTTTTACACAATACAGAGGATAAACCCTTGAAGTTCCACAGTGAGTATAACAAGCATGCTTTACTGCATATACAGACTGATTTTACGGTTGTCTGTTTAGTAACACTGCTTTGGGAAACGGATAAATTGATGGATTTAGTTCCAGTTTAATGGGCAAGTATGGTTAATTTATTTCATCACCCTGTGGCCTAAGTGCGGTTACTGCAGGCAGTAGGTGAACTTGCATTCTAGGTGAGTACTTTACCATATGACAAGAACACAAGTGAATAGATAACATCACAGACAAAACACCTCAGTGTTGCTAACGGCTAACATTTATCATCAATAAATGTGTACAGAAGTCTCATACTTACATGGTCTCCCCAGTTTTCGCCACATGGCAAAGAAACTGATCAAGTTCCGGATGTACTTCTTTCTTTCCTTTCTTCTCAAATTCTGAAGAGAGAAAAAATAAAGTACAATCAGAGTCAGAACTATATAGCCATTATTCATCTCACACAACCATAGTTCGGATCATTTTAAAAAAAGTACAGCCAAAGCTGTGGTGAGAACTCGGCAATCAGTGGCCATGTGATCGCCAAGTCCTCACACTTCGTGGCAGCGGAGGACAGATGCAGCATCTGATCGATGCTGCATCCACCTAGGTAAGCAACTTGGGGGGAGGGGAAACAACCCACACTTTAATGAAAATCAACAAAAAGACAAATCACAATTTGTAAAGTATAGTGTTCAGGTTTCATAATGTAGCTGGTGTTCTAATAAGTACAGCTGGCACTTTTGAGGTTCTCTCTAGCCGTTGACCATTGAGTTGGCTCTTCTATTAACAAAATTTACACATACATACATGGGGAAGATGTGATCTCTTAAGCCACACCACAGACCCCAACTTGACTGCCCAATATGGCCCTATACCGCCTTGCCAACAGTCACATTTACCACCACCTGTTCTAGAAAAGTACCAGTAGGACTTCAACAGAGGTCAAAAGCTTGGTTTCACCTTACATATGGATAACTAGGAACAGAACAGCTGAAACAAAATCACAGAATTTGTATCATTTATTTAAAAAAACCAAAAAAAAAAATCATATACACAAGTATGCCACACCTAGTGAGATTTTCTATTATTTTTGCAGCCAAAACAACATAAGAAGGTACATTTACTGACAATGTTAATCACATGATCACATCAAGAGGATTTCATCATTTTGAATTTAGACCTAACCATTCCGTTATCTTGCACCAAGCTGCCATCATTTGATTCCTATGCTCACAAGGCACAGGGATACCTGGTTCATTCTGCCAGCAGCTACATAAGTATAGGACACAGTAATGAAGGAGGCATTAACCTCCCTGGCGGTATTCCCGAGTGTAGCTCGGGGTAAAGTTTCAGTACCAAAAGCGGTAACCCCGAGCTACACTCGGGCTTACCATGCGGCGCTGCACAGGGATTCCCTGCAGAGCTTACCTTGTCCTTCGCTCCCGCGATGTGTCCCCTGCAGCGCCCCCCGCCATCTCCTCCGGCCGATGCCGGCATCCGGCTTCTGTGTTCCGGTCCCTGTGACGTCGGGACATACGGGGCGCGCCGCCGGAGGCGGGAAATTTGAAAATTTTAAAAAATTTCATTTTTTTCCAAACAAATTTTACATAGTAAAACATTGCTGTTTCAACCCATTTCACATACATTTTGTCCCAAGTGCTTTGTCCGGCGCCCTGCCTGCATTTTGTCTGTTCTTTCTGCCTGAAAACTGAGAAATGTCCATGGCGTCCAAAAGCGTCCCTTTAGGTCAAAAGTGGTTTTAGACCAGCTAGAGAACAGCGATAGTAAATCAGAACCACTTGCAGAATTGAGTGATAATGATTCGTGGGGGAAATTCCTCATCAGACACTGAAAATGATTTTGCGACTTTGCTCAGTGATGTGCGAACTTGGCGCTATATTTCAAATTTCAGTGTTTTTGGTTTGATTACATTATTGAATTAAATGTATTATATTATTTTTTTATGATTATTTATTAAATTATAATTTATGATTTCATGTTTCAAATTTTACCCTACCCGGGATGTTTACTAGACTCTTGTCGGACAGATTTCAGTGAGTTATTCCTAAAAATTACAGCCTACAATAAAAAAAAACTACATATTTCAATGCAAAACAATGGTACCGCTTTCAGCACCAAAAATCTGAAATAATCAGACCGCCAGGGAGGTTAATACTCCCAGAAGGGTGTTGGATGCAGAAAATGCTTCAGCAAGCTTAGCATTTCAAGAGAGCAAAGCTCAGTGGTGAAGGTGACACAACATTTTTTTTTTTTTAAGGAAGGACTTCAATTTAAACCAAGTGGCAGAGTTGCTTGAAATGGAACATTACAGCCATGTTTAAGAAAATAAAACTTCTAAACAGCAGAAACCACAAGGTATGAGATACCTTTATGAACCCTCTGCCTGGGGAACCTCTGAGCCTGGCCTACACTTACTGTGGGACTTAAACTGGCCCCCCAAAGCAAAGACTCCACCTATCATCTATCCTTTACCCCTCCAAACAGCTCATCAGTGATTAAAGTGGTCCTCTAGGCAAAAACTAAAAGCTGTGGTTTGCAAGCTTTCCCCAACCACTGTGTTCTAAAGTTCTAATGCTGTTTATTTGTCCACGTTAAGTATCTCAAGCTTCCTGCCTTGGTGACGTATTTCTGTGTCACTGGACAATACTATAGAGATGCAATAGAAAGGACTTCTCTACACAGCGCTGTCGGGACCCAGAAGTGTGCTGTGATGCTATGTGCAAGGGAGCAGTCTGCACATTCGCAATTCCCTTCATTGCACATGTGCGGGCATATCTCCTAAACAGTTCCTCCATCCTACTAGGCATACTTGAAGCTCAGCGCTGCTGCTGTAAATGGGAGGGGATATCATTTTGTTGGCAGCTGCAGGAAGAATTGTGTTGTTGTGAAAACCACATCTCTAAGCTGGTGTAGGTCACTTCCAAAAATGTTTGCTTTTTGCTACTCAGCAATATGTTTAGACATTGTATTAGATGACCGTGAAATTAAGGGTTTGTTTACATTAGCGTTGTTCTCTGAAGAAAGATCCACAGTGGATCACTTTTCAAAGGACATTTGACAGATTATTATTATACAGTATTTATATAGCGCCAACAGTTTGCTCAGCGCTGTACATTATAATGGGAGACAGTACACGAGACAGTACAGTAATAATACCATACACAAGGAGTTTGAGGGCCCTGCTCCTTGGAGCTTACAATCTAGGAGGGAGGGGAGAGTGGCACAGGAGGAAATAGCTGTGGGGGATGGAGTGGAGGAGGTCAGCAATTAGGTGAGGGTGGGGTAGGCTTCTCTGAAGAGATGGGTATTCAGGGTGCGCCTAAAAGGTGAGGAGGGTAGGCGACAGTCTGATGGATTGGGGTAGTGAGTTCCAGAGGATGGGGGAAGCCCTGGAGATGGGCATGGGAGGAGGAGACCAGGGAACTAGAGAGGAGATCAGCAATTAGGTGAGGGCAGGGTAGGCTTCTCTGAAGAGGTGGGTTTTCAGGGTGCGCCTAAAAGGTGAGGAGGGTAGGTGACAGTCTGATGGATTGGGGTAGTGAGTTCCAGAGGATGGGGAAGCCCTGGAGAAGTCCTAAGGATGGGCATGGGAGGAGGAGACCAGGGAACTAGAGAGTAGGTGGTCTTGTGAGGAGCGGAGAGTGCGTGTTGGGTGGTAGATAGATATCAGGTCGGCGATATGTCACCTCTTCACCAGCTGTTTTAACACCTACAAACTGGCAATAACGTGCTGCCAGCATGTGCATTACACATGGTTGTAGCGTGGCCCCACTCACTTGGTACTGTCCACTCAACATGACAGGGGTTCCAATTCATTTGGCACAGCATTGCAGCAAGCAAGTATACAACTCCATCTGGGGGACTGTGCAGCTTAGTGAAACTAAAATCTTGTCTTTTTTTTTTTTTAAATTGACAAACATGTTATATACTTACCTGCTCTGTGCAGTGGTTTTGGATGGGGCTCAGGTAAGCGTTGGGGGGGCTGCTACACACAGAAGGTTTATTACCTTCATGCATAGAATGCATGAAGGTAAAAAACCTGGAGACTTTAGAAGCACTTTGGGTGGCTTCACTGCAGGCTGGGCAAGGCGTACCTAACCCTTGTTTTTTTTAGCTTCGCTTTCCCATAGACTTCTATTATGTATTGTGGTTTTTGTGTGCTTTCAGAAATCGCAGATATTAGCAAGCCTTTTTCATTTCCTTAAATAGGACTTTTACATTTAAAAAGCTTAAATGAATGTAAACATTCCCCAACGTAAGGTACTTACTTTACGCAATTTTCTTTCCTTCAACAGGCTGGTTGTACTGAAGTCGATTGACAGATCTTCTTCAGTACAACCAGCCTGCCTATAGATGGAATTGAAATTCGGCCAGTTTCTGCTGAACTGGCCGAATTTTAATACATCTAAGCCCAGCTTAACGCTTTGCTTAGGAACTAACCCTTCTAATCATCAGTGGCCGTACAACACAACCAGCTGCTAAAACAAGACCATTTCTTTTGCTATTTTTTTTCCTGCAAGCTTTCCTTACTATCTGAATACAATCTACTTTTATAGAGCAATCAGGAATCACATGGATAATCATTAACAGGTTCAACTTTAGGTTACATTCACACAGTCGCCAGGGACACGCACTATCAGGAATGAGCATATTTCTGCAGCCAGGAGCGTCAGGCATTTGTGTACAGCTGTACAAATCAATGACAGGCTGACAGATGCAGCAGCTCTACTCATGTATCCACACATCTGAGCGGTTCCATGTGTACAGGCTCAACTGCAGCATCTGTCAGCCCGATTTGCACAGGCTTGCTGGCCACAGTTGGCCTATGACTCCTGGGCTCAGAAATACGCTCCTCCGCAGTGTGCAACTCTCTGCGACCATGTGAATGAGGTCTAAGAATCCTGAATTAGCAGGCAGCCTGGAAAAATTCTCCCAGTCAAAGACGAGGGAAATGTGACAAATCACATAGCATTAGGGGCCCTTTCACACATACATCATCTGTTCAGTCATAATCTTTCAAAGAAAAAAAACGGATTCAGCTTACATCGGTATGCACAACTGTTTTCAGTTCAGTTTACATCAGTCTACATTCGTTTTTATGTCAGTTTTTTCTTAGTTGTTACAGAAACCAATCAGAGGTGACAAATTTATAAACAAAAAAATGTTTCTTGCCTAAAAATTGGCAAAATGAATGAATGTAAACAAATGGCATCTGTTTACATCCATTCTGTTTCAGTGGATCTTCTGGAAGTTGGCTGTTCCGTAAAAAAAAAAAAAAAAAAAAAAAAAAAAAAAACACAAGCAGACCTGAACGTACATGGGTGTAAGACTTAATTCACTTCAAAATTGTGCGATTTTCATTGCAACTTTGGACGACTGTGACTTTGGTGCAATTCTGTCTTTGAGCAAGGATGATTTTTTTGTGCTGTACAAAGTCGCACCGCCCAGCTGCAGCAGCCGTCAACCTCTCTTACAGGCTGCCAGCTTTGCCTGTACTTTTCACCTACAGGCCAGAGTCCCATGCACCAGGGCTAAAGTGAAGTGTACACGAGGCCTAAAACCCACATATAAACTGAAGTGAAAACGCATGTACAAATAAATATGGATTCAGGTTACATTAGTTTTTTCTTACGCCCCTTGCGCACAGGGCTGTCCAACTGCAACTCATCGGGAATGCAGAAGACCTCATCCCTAAACTGAAGAGCCAATAGAAACGCTGGTACCCCTCGGTACAGTGTTCAGACCCATCCATCCACAGCCTGCCAGACTTTACAGGCTGCCTGCATTGGGTCTAAACACCGCTCCTCTCCCTCCCAAGCGTGCAGCAGCAGGACCCCCCCTGTGTACAAGGGGCCTTAGGGAGGCCATAGACGATGCAAATTTCTTTCCTGCAAACACGAAGGAATGAAAAACGCTTGATTTCCCCCCCAACGCTGACTGTTGATGGGGGAATCCCTCCTGTGTTCTCCCAGCATGGGGGCATGAGAAGCTGTCCCTGTTGGGAGAACACAGCGATTGCTAGTGGCTATAACCGCTGGCAATAATCACATGTTAAAAATTCAACGTGCTGTTTGTACCCAAGTCATACAACTGGCTACAATCAGTCAAATTGCAGAGATTTGAACCATCTATGGACAGCTTTAGTACATATATATAAAAAAAAAAAAAAACCACAAACATGACTGACCTGATGACACCCGTGTGCAAGGACCCTACAAGACATGAATAATTCACATGTGGAAATGTAAATCACAAGGAGAAAGTCAAAGAATCATTAAGCAATTACAGGAGTGCCATGTTCTAGTGACACACCGGAAAGGAGTATGCAACACATGTATCTTCAGTCATTCAATTGCTGTAGTGCCCCGACACATTTTCCGCTGGCAAGGCTTGCTGAAGCCTGCAGTTCAGCAGCACATGTAAAGCTGTACAATCTATGCATGATAAAGAGATTCTCTATTCTCCCAGCCACCAAGATGAAGCAGCAGAATACAGCATAAAGCCGGATTGTGCCGGTACGGCTGGGGGAATTAGGGGGGAGACAGAATCCCGGGAAATGCTAAAGGAGAGCAGGCAAACAGTACTAGGCAAAGAGAAAAATGCCAACGTCTCTAGCTACAGAACACGCACGCTCAATCACACCCAGTTCACACAAGATTTTTAAAAGGCACACCCTTCTCATCGGTCTTACAGACTCACAAACCCCCCCCCAACAGCCTTGGCAAGATTGATAATTATGCTGGACTCTTTCCAAGTAGGGCAGAAAACTAGCCCGGTCTTCCTCCACCGTGCACAAGTGACAGTCCGGAGCAGGGATACTTTCAAAGCTATGTATTCCCATAGAAACAACACAGGGACGCAGTTTACCAAAACAAACATGAAAACCTCAAGCAAGCACAAAATCCAAGTATCCTAGTCCCCCCCCCCCCCCCCCAGTCAAGTTCCCTCACTGGTTACTCCGCATAAAGATGATCGATATTGAGGATTATTTTGAAACAATGTAAAGAAAATCAGAGGTGACCTCTGCAGTACCCGGTCATTGTGTTACTAATAAAGGGCTTGTGTACACAGAGCCAACCTGCATGTGAAACGCAGATCGGCAGATTCCCTTTGACCTCAATGATACAGTGCGGATGACCGCTGTGTTTACCCTGTTTTGTGTTTCTCTGACCGCAGCACGGCCTATTGGATGCACATGCATCGCAGGCACAGGGGGTCAAATGCAGCATTTTAAATTCAAACGCATGTTTTTGCAGCTCTTCATTTATAAGTATCTAAGGTGAAAATGTAAAATCATATTTGTAGCCTACTCCTATTAATATGAATGAGTTTTTAACCGCTAGCCTATCGGGCACTTATACCCCCTTCCTGCCCAGGCCAATTTCCAGCTTTCAGCGCTGTTGCACTTTGAATGACAATTGCACGGTCATGCAACACTGTACCCATATGAAATTTTTATAATTTTTTTGTGACAGATAGAGCTTGGTGGTATTTAATCACCTCTGGGGTTTTTTTATTTTTTCTTAAACAAACCAAAAATCACTGAAAATTTTGATGAGGCACTGGTAGGTGGCACTGATGGGCATTGACAGGCATCACTGATGGGCACTGACTGGCACTGATAGGCGGCTCAAATGGGCACTGATATGTGGCATTGATGTGCACTGGTAAGTACTAAAATGTGGCATTGAGGTGGCACTGATTAGCACCGGCAGGTGGCATTGATAAGCACCGACAGGTGGCACTGCTGGGGCTACACTGATCATCAGGGCACACTGATCATCAGTGCCCTGATGATCAGTGTACATGTCCCCTCTGAGGGATGCCGATTACCGGCTCTCCTCTCGAGCTGTCACCGTGACAGCTTGTGAGGAGAGAAATGCCAATAACCGGGCATTTCCCTATTTACATGCGATCACCTGTGATTGGACACAGCTGATCACATGACAGAGCCGACATCTTCGGCTCTTTCCGTTGATCCGCTGTGTCCAAGGGACACAGCACACCGCCGATCGCCGTGCGCTCCCAGAGCTGCGCATGCGTAGTTAGAATGGGAGCACGTCATATGACATCCTCCCAGAACAAGAGAACCGCCTTGCGCCCGTCATTGTACTATATGGTGGGCAGGAGGCGGTTAAACTTCCCACACATTTCCTTCCTTGAATTCTGTGACAGTCACTATGCCCTGTGAGTATGCACAAATTTCACAGAGCCTGCCTTCCGAACTACAGAGGTGATGAAGGAAGGTGTATTCAGTACAAGAAAACTGCTTTCAGGCAAGGTACCATGGGACATGTAGTCCTTAGAAAACGAACATAAAAAGCAAAGTAGAAGCTTCAAAGCATGGCGGGAATCCAGGAAGTTGTGGAGACGGCCAGAAGATAGGCAGCATTCAACATAGGAGACTTTTCAAGTCAGTTTATACTGGATTTCAACGATAACTATTTGTATTGTTATTACAATACTGATGTTATAAAATGAAAGTGTTTGCTGTGACCATACAGTAGATTTCACACCAGAACGCGTGTTTCCCGCACCACATTCAAAATACACTACACTTGCGTTCTGCAGTGGGTGTCTGTGTTAGTTTAAGAGGGAACTTCAATCTCAGCCAACATTGACTATTTTTATCTTTATGCTGTTAGTAAATAGATAGGAAAGTACACTCACCAGCCACTTTATTAGGTACACCTGCTCTATTGCTTGGTAACACAAATTGCTAAGTGACTTTGAACGTGGCATGGCTGTTGGTGCCAGACGAGTTGGTCAGAGTATTTAAAAAAAACTGCTGATCTGCTGGGATTTTCACACACAACCATCTCTAGGGGTCCAAAAAAATAAAAAGTCCAGTGAGCAGCAGTTGTGTGGACAAAAATGCCTTGTTGATGTCAGAGGAGAATGGGCAGACTGGTTGCTGCTACATTCAGATGGTCGGGTCAGAGTTTGGCGTAAATAACATGAAAGCATGGATCCATCCTGCCTTGTGTCAACAGTTCAGGGCGGTGGTGGTGGTGGTGTAATGATGTAAGGGAGATTTTAAGGTGAACCTAATAAAGTGGCTGGTGAGTGTAAATCATATTTATTTTAAAATTTATTTTTTTACTTTTCTTCAGTTACTTTCTAGTTTCCATTCCTAGGCAAATTATGTCATACATCCCAGGAGGGATTTTCTCAGCTAAGCACACCCTCCTGCATGAGACAAGGACAAATGGATTCCAGGAAATAAAACCTACATGCATCATTTGCCCTTACTTAAGATGGCCTTGGCCAGAAATGCTAGGTGGGCGTTTTTCAAAGTGATTTCTCAGCAAAACAAAGCATGCAGAGACCTGGATTGTTGAGTTTGCTTTGAATATTAAAAATTAATTAAATAACGTTTTTTGATTTGAGGTGTCAGATGCTGTATAGTTTTGCTTTAATGACACCCCAAAGGCAGTGCCTCTGCCTGCACCAGATCACATGGTCCAGTAGTACCATACAATCCGGTTGCTGTGCGTTTTGTAGTGCATGTCCTAGTTTTGGTGAAGTTTGGTGCAATTTCAACCTATTCAAATGAATAGGCTGAAATCACACTGCACCCGGATCGTGTGTGAATCACAAAGGAACACACAGCACGTTCCTGTGCAATTCACCCAAAATGTAAAACCGTGAGTATGACAACTCCACTGTACACAAACCCTTCCTAATAATGACAAGCAGGGTACCATCTGTCTGTCCTCACATGACCTGTCCTGATTCTCCCCCGAATCTGGGAGCAGTACACATATGGTGAATTTAAAGCGGAGTTCCACCTGAAAAAAAATAAATAAATAAATAAAAGTCAGCAGCTACAAAAACTGTAGCTGCTGACTTTTAAAATACATACACTTACCTGTCCCTCGATCCCGTGATGTCCTCACCACCGCTGGTTTCACCGGCCGTCTTCTCTCCCTGGTGCCGACATCTTCAGTGTGGGCACCCGGCTGTGGCAGCTTGCGGCTTCACAGCCGGGGGCCCACTGCGCATGCGCGAGAAGCGCTGCGCTTTCTAAATGGCCCTGTAGTTTTCTGGGACCTGTCACGTGTCCCAGAAGACTAGGAGGAGGGAGACCAACTTATGCTTCCGATCGCCTAGGCGATCGCAGTGGAAACGGGAGCGGTACCTGTCAAATCCGGGTACCCCCCCCCCCCCCCCCCCCCCTGCCAAAGGTGCCAATCCTTGAAGGGGAGCGGGGGACAAAGGCTTAAAGCAGAACTTCCCCTTTTGGGTGGAGCTCCATTTTAATTCTATTGTTTTACCTTGAGGCATTGCAAAACTGACATCCACATGCATGATGGGATTTGCAGTGTCTCCGCAGCTGGAGTGCACAGGTTGCCTATCCTGGCTCTAACAAATCAATAGATGACCCTGTAAATGCATGCGATCCTGGAAATCAGGAGGCATCACTTCCTTCTGTCATAAAGCCAGCCTAAGCCTCCTGGTACATGCTACATTTCATGTCCGGAAAGTCCCACATCTCCTCACCAATCACCAGTCAGCTCTCCAGATACACACTAAACGTCTCTGCAAGCTCCTTCCATCACTCAGCCATCTCACACTGGACAACGTGAAGCCCCCTTCCCTGCCCATCTCACCAGGTAAGGGGTCTACAGTGCCCTCCTTACATCCGCAGCACCCTATGCTCTCCATTCCTCTTAGGTTCAATGGACGCTCCAGCCTACTGACCAATCCCAATGTTGCCTCTCTGGCTGTCACATCCTCTTGCAACTTTAACAGCTTCCCTGCGCCATGTTCCTCCTCCTCACTTGTCTCCCCACAGCTCTTTGCTCCTTCACTCCCCAGTCCCTCCACATCCTCTCCATACACTGCGGCTTCCTCATAAGTCTCCCCACAAGCCACCTTCTCTTTACCAGCCACTGTGTTGCCCCTATAGCCTCCTCCACACCTGCAGCCACCTCCTAACCAGGCATCCCATACACCCCTGTAGCCTCCTCTTATTCCTTACAAGTCTCCATGCTACATTTTAGCCTCCTCCTCACCAGTCTCCCCACTGCCCCTCCAACTTCCTCCTCGTCAGATTCCCTGTTACCTCTTCAGCCTCCTCTATGCCAGTCGCCAAGCTACCCATAAAGCCTTCTCACCAATCTCCCTGCTGCTCCTGCAACTTCCTCCCTAAGTCACAAAGCTACTTCTAAAGATTTTTCATTGATAGTCTCCACAGAGCCCCTCCAGCCGCCTCCTCCTTGGCAGTCCTCCTCAGTGCCCCTCCAGCCTTCTTGGTGCCCCTTCAGCCTCCCCAGTGCCCCTCCAGCCTCCCCAGTCTCCACAGAGCCCCTATAGCTGCCTCCTCCTTGGCAGTCTCCTCAGTGCCCCTCCAGCCTAATCGCCAGCCTTCTTGGTGCCCTTCAGCCATCTCCTCGCCAGTCTCCACTGTACCCCTCCAGCCATCTCCTCGCCAGTCTCCCCAGCGCCCCTCCAGCCACTCTGCCCAGTGCCCCTTTCAACCACTAGTTTTCTAAGTGCCACTACAATCTCCCCGATGCCCCTCCAGCCTCCTCCTCCCAGTCTTCCTGGTTCTTTTTTCAACCTCCTCCCCCTTGCCACTCTCCCCAGTGCCCCTACAGCCTCCCCCTCGAGTCTTCCCAGTGCTCTTTCAACCTCCTCCTCCTTGCCAGTATCCCCGATGCCCTGCCAGCCTCCTCCTTGCCAGTCTCCATGGTGCCCCACCATTCTCCCCCTTGCCAGTCTCCTTAGTGCTCCTCCATTCTCCTTGCCAGTCTCCCCGGTGGCCCTCCAGCCTCCTCCTTGCGAGCCTCCCTGGTAACCCCTCCAGCCTCCTCCTTGCCAGTCTCCCCAGTGCCCCTCCATCCTCCTTGCCAGTCTCCTTGGTGTCTTTTCAGCTGTCTCCTCCTTGAAAGCCGCCCCGGTGCCCTCCAGCCTCCTCCTTGCCAGTCTCCCTAGTGCCCCCTTCAACCTCCTTTCCAGCCTCCCCGGTTCCACTCCGGCCTCCTCAGTAGTCTCCCTGGTGTCCTGCCAGCCTCCCTGATGCCATTCCAGCTGCCCACCTCGCCAGCCTCCCCAATGCCCCTTCAACCTCCTTGCCAGTCTCCTTGGTGTTCCTCCAGCCCCCTCAACAGTCTCCCCGATGCCCCTCAGGTCTCCCCTTTACCAACCTCCTACTCGCCAGCTTCACAGGTACCCCTCAAGCCACCTCCTCGCCTGTCTCCCCGGTGCCCCTCCAGGCCTCCTCCTCGCCTGTCTCCCCGGTGCCCCTCCGGCCTCCTCCTCGCCTGTCTCCCCGGTGCCCCTCCAGCCTCCATGCCAGTCTCCCCGGTTGCTCCCCAGCACCCCTCCAAGCCAGTCTCCCTGTTGCTCCTCCAGCGACTTTGCCAGTCTCCCCGGTGCCCCTACAGCCTCCTCACCAGTCTCCTCGGTGCACCTCCAGCTGTCTCCTCCTCCTCACCAGTCTCCTTGGTGCCCCTCCAGCCTCCTCCTCGCCATTCTCCTCGGTGCCCATTCAGCCACCTTCTTGCCAGTCTCCTCTGTGCCCCTCAGGTCTCCCCTTTACCAGCCTCCTCCTCGTCAGCTTCACAGGTACCCCCTCCGGCCTCCTCCTCGCCAGTCTCCGCGGCGCCCCTCCGGCCTCCTCCTCATCAGTCTCCGCGGCGCCCCTCCGGCCTCCTCCTCGCCAGTCTCCGCGGCGCCCCTCCGGCCTCCTCCTCGCCAGTCTCCGCGGCGCCCCATCCGGCCTCCTCCTCGCCAGTCTCCGCGGCGCCCCATCCGGCCTCCTCCTCGCCAGTCTCCGCGGCGCCCCTCAGGTCTTTCCTTCACCAGACTTCTCCTTCCCAGCCTCCCTGGTGCTCTTTCAACCTCCTTGGTATCCCTCCAGCTGCCTCCTCCCCCTCACCACTCTC